ATTTTCCAACTTTTGCTTGAGACCTGTACAGAAATTATACCATAGCTCTTTCTCTGTTGTTAAAACATAGGCTGCTTGTGACACTTAATCCCTACTTCTGAATGTTCTGCTTGCATGCTGCGTGGAACGTGCTTTGGAAACAAGTTAGCCTCCATTAATTTGATTAGCAAGAGGAAATAGCCATTTTTTAAATTTCGCAGTCCCATAAAGTTAACTAAATGGAAATCTCTTAACTTTTCTAGGTTTCAGCATCTTTATCCTGAAAATGAAAATACTAATAACTAAGTTTCTATAAGTTAAAGAAGATATCTCAAGTAATCACAATCACAGTTAATCAAGTTAAAAGATGGAAGAAACCTAAAAAAGAAATGGAATGATGAAAATCATCTATCCATCACTTTTACACAAGTGGCATGTATAATGAAGAAAATGCATATCTAGAAATAGAGAGATGTGTTCTGATCCTGGCTCTGCCACTAAATGGTCCTGATATCTTGGCCATTCATTTATTCTCCAAATACTTATGCTATACCTATTAGATGCCTGCTACTGATACCACTAAAACTGCTAATAGAGGCTCGACCTTCCTCACAGGCTATTTTTAGGATGGGGTGAAATAATTTATAGGCAAATTCTTAAAGTTAAGAGCTATGAAAGTATGTAGTGATTTTATACTATTATATATTACATGTATATGATATTACTATAGTTTTGTCCAAGTTATATTCTATAGCATAAAACATATTTGCCATGTCAGGTTCAAGAGCTCATGAGACTTCCTGAGCCTCAGTTTCTGCATCCGTGAAATAAAGGTGTTGAACTGGATAACTCTGGTATTCCACCAGCATTTAATAGCTAATTAGATATTCTTACTTTTGAGATGAGGAACCTAAAGCTAAGAGAGGTTAAATGATTTGCTCAAGGAACACAGTCAGTACCAGAACAAAACTGGGATTCAGGTTTCCTACTTTTCAAAAGTATCACAACTTGGAAAATTTAAAATAACGGACTTTTCCTTTGTCCAGGCTCTCAGACTATGAAACTTGCTGCTGTCCCTAAATCTTCCATCTCAGCTTGACTATTCACTTGAGATCATCAAGTGATGTGGCTGTATTTGTGAAATTAATCACCAAATTGCCATTTCAATCTCCTAAACTTCATTCCAAAAAGATTTGATCCTTTTAACTTGGATTCTACTCCTTTATTAAAATGAGAAAGCACTGCCATCTACTGGATGCTGAAGACATTGCTGTTATATTTTTTAGTCTGAGGAAAGAATTCTTACCAATCTAATGCTTTTTGTACTTTGTCAATAACCCAATATTTAGTTATTATGACAGTACAAGTTACATAACAATAAAACTCCAAAAGTTTGGGCTGGAGGTAAAGTAGGCTGAGAGAGAGAGAGAGCATCCCCTCAAGATTTTTAATCTCAAAATTATTTTTGGCCGAAACCGGTTTGGCTCAGTGGATAGAGCGTCGGCCTGCGGACTGAAAGGTCCCAGGTTCGATTCCGGTCAAGGGCATGTACCTGGGTTGCGGGCACATCCCCAGTGGGGGATGTGCAAGAGGCAGCTGATCGATGTTTCTCTCTCATCGATGTTTCTGACTATCTATCTCTCTCCCTTCCTCTCTGTAAAAAATCAATAAAATATATTTTAAAAAAAAATTATTTTTATGGCCCTGACCGGTTTGGCCCAGTGGACAGAGGGTCAACCTGCGGACTCAAGGGTCCCAGGTTCGATTCTGGTCAAGGGCATATACCTTGGTTGCGGTCACATCCCCAGTAGGGTGTGTGCAGGAGGCAGATGATCGATGTTTCTCTCTCATCGACCTTCCTCTCTGTAAAAAAATCAATAAAAATGTATTTTAAAAAAATTTATTTTTATAATAGTCTTAAATTTATTTTTATAATAGTCTTAAATACATCAAGCCTTCACCTGTATCCATTAACAATTTCTTATTGAGCACCCACTGCAGGCCAGGCACTGAAAAAGGGACACAATGTTGACAGAATGATAAGCATTATAAATGTAGCCCCTCCCTCTTATCAAAAGGTTTAGTGCCTAGTGAATAGCAATTCCCATTTATTACTGAACTCCATTCATGTGCCAGGCTTATAATATATACATTATCATCTTTAATCCTCAAAAACAGCTTATGCTGAGATAGAAATTATCTCCATTTGTAGCTGAGGACACAAACACAGACATAGCTCAATTTGTCCAAGATCACTGTCATAGGTGAGCAGCAGTAGTGCCTGAAATTAAACAATTCAATCTGACTCCAAAACCCATATCCTTAATCACTAGGAGTGTGCATTCACCCAGGTAGTTGTCAGCATCTGCCTAAAAGGAAGTCTTTGCCAAAAGGAAATTCAGGCAAAGATAACCTTACATGTCTGTATTAAAGCCACAACTCCTGAACTTGGATCTGAAAGGTCCAGCTTATTGGATAAAAAGCTGGCCCAACAGCCTCTCATTCCACCCTGTCCCCCCAGTTGCCAGCCTAGCAGTTAAATCCATCTAGAAAACATCTCAACTGGCCACCTAACTATTTATCAACCACCATCCACCCTAACTTCAAGTTACAGCAATGTTCCTCTTATAGTCCCCAAACATTTGAAAGAGCACCTATTCCTAAGGTCTTTTCAACTGATTTAAGATTCTGCTGTGATTCACCTGCATTATCTGTAAGACACAAATAATTGATATCAAAATAATTTTTCAAACTAAACCTATCTGTAAATTAGTGCTCTCTGGAATACATGCAGTTTTATCTCAATTAGAACATGCAGTTTAATCTCCTTAACTAAAAGAATGTGAATATGTGTCTAATACTTTTGTAGCCCACAGTACCCATCAGATAATAATATATACTAGTATATATATTGGTCTCTGACCCCAGTTATTGGCACAGAGCTCCTGAAACCCTTGTAATTCCCCTAAGTCAGTGGTCGGCAAACTCATTAGTCAACAGAGCCAAATATCAACAGTACAACGATTGAAATTTCTTTTGAGAGCCAAATTTTTTAAACTTAAACTATATAGGTAGGTACATTGTTATTAACTTAATTAGGGTACTCCTAAGCTGGCCTTTGCTAAAAACGTCCTCAATCTGATTGAGGTACGTTCACTGAGGTCGACCCCTTCCAACTCTCCCATCCACACTCGTCTTGTATACTTGTTTCGTCTATCTCCTTTCGTTCATCCTCTCTATATGTCCAAACCATCTCAACATACCTTTCTCAATCCTCGACACTACATCTTCTTTCACTCCACAACGTTCCCTGTACGTGCACGCCCGCACGTGGTATTTTGTGGAAGAGCCACACTCAAGGGGCCAAAGAGCCGCATGTGGCTCGAGAGTGGCGGTTTGCCGACCACTGCCCTAAGTGATAAGTGCCTAAAAAGCATCTTTTGTTCTAATATTTGGCTCCCAATACAGGGCTCCTGATATCCTTGTAAATTTCCTGGGTGAGAGGAGTATCTTTTGTTCTAATGAGGCAATAATGAATGGCTCCTGGATGAGGGCTGGTCACCTGAAGGACCAAGCCATGCATAGAAGCTTGGAGTTTTCAGCCCTGCCCCCCGCTCCATTCTCTTGAGAAGGAAGGAGGGTTGAAAATGGAGTTAATGATCCATCATGTCTAAGTGATAAAGCCTCCTTAATGCCCCAAAAGTACAGAGTTCAAGTTGGCCAACACATACACACTGGGATGGCGACGTGCCCCAGCTCCACAGGGACAGAAGCTCTGCATTCAGGGCCTCCCAGACCTCGCCCTATGCATCTCTTCCATCTGGCTGCTGCTCTGTTTCCTTTATGAAACCCTTTAATAAAGTAACAAATGTGTTTCTATGTGAGCCACTCTAGCAAATTAATCGAACCCAAGGAGGGGTCACTGGAATCTTGGATCTATAGCTGGTTGGTCAGAAGCACAGGTGACAACCTGGTATTGTAACTGGCATCTGAAGTGGGGGTAGGCAAGGGCAGTCTTGTGGCACTGAGCCCTTACCCTGTGGTAGATAGTGTGAGAATTGAGTTCAATTGCAGGACATCCAGCTGGTGTCACAGAGAATAAGTTGTTGGTTTAGGAAAAAAACCTCCACACAATGGGTGACCAGAAGTGTCAAAAGTGAAGTGGGAATACTAAAGGAGATACAGAGGGAAGAAAAACACAGTAGCAAAGAACCGGGTTTTTCTCCACAATAGGAGGGAAAGACTGTTGGTTTTCCCTTTCAGTACCTAGTTTAATAATTGGCATACAGCCTGGCCAGGGTGGCTCAGTGGTTGAGCATCGACCTAAGAATCAAGAGATAATGGTTCGATTCCCAGTCAGGACATGTGCCCGGGTTGCAGGCTCGATCCCTAGTGTGGGGTGTGCAGGAGGCAGCCAATCAATGATTCTCTCTCATCATTGATGTTTCTCTCTCTCTCCCCCTCTCCCTTCCTCTCTGAAATCAATAAAAACATATTTCAAAGGGCAGGAGCAATACAAAGATCAAAGATGTATTAGGCAGGGTCTCCAGAGAAAGGGTTTCCATGTAAGGGAAAGATAGTAGGTACTTAATAAATAAGTACCTACTCCTTCCCTCTCCTTTCTCTAATTGCTTTTAGAAATAGAGATAGCATTGGCTATAATATAACTTGACTCATCGTTTCTTAGATGTATTGAAAGTTCTAAACAATATCTGAAACATTTAATAAAATTGTTATTGCATTTAATCAAAATTCACTGTTCTTTCTTAATCCCCAAAGAATTATATAGAATAAGAAAAAGCAGTTCCATTTCCTTAGAGGAAAATGAAGATAATCTAGATTTAGAAAAGATGAATTGGGGTGGTTATAAAATAAGGTTTCATTTTAAAGGGATTCCTCCTAAGCCACAGTAAACAACAAATTTATAATACTTAAAACATGATTCCGTTTACACACCGTTTTTCCTTATAAGCCAAGGCATACCCACACTAAACAAAACTAGCACTCGGAAAAGCTCTTACCTTATGTTCATATGGAGCACCATAGTAGCCATCATTCAGCCCAAATATTATTTCATTTTGGTTGCGGGCATGAATCTAAGAGAGGAGGAAAACATACTATTAGTTCCTCTCATTTCAATCAAGTTTTAATATGACTGGAGGACAGTTACAACAGGATACTTCAGTGCTGGAAAACAGGCTGGCTCTATCTAACAAGCCGGTAGAAAACACATCCCTATCATTGAACCAGGTAATCTACCAAGGCTTCCCGCTTTAGTCAAAAGCCTCACAGACCATCACATGAGATCACGGGCACCATCATCCACATGTATTTTCCACAAACCTTCTTGAGGTTGTTATGGAGAGACTATTCTTAAAGTACAGGGATTCAGAAGCCGATAGCATGTATCTCAAAGAAAACACAATCCAGTTAATCTATAAAAGCACCTTAAAAACATGAAGCCCTAGGAAAAAATAAAAGATGAATATTTCCTATTTTCAAAGAGTGTTTAAAAATAATACCTAATCCCTAAAGTCTTTAAATGTCTGCTTAATTATTGTTTGCATACCATTCTCTTTCAAATGTAACTGATTTGAGTTTTAGTTAATGCCACCACAAATTAATTTTCACCTGAAAGGTAGGAAGGTTAAAACTTTAAAATTTAAGAATTAAGATAAAAACTGCTCATAATAGCATAAAGTATCCAATTGTGAAACATGAAGATAGATTTAGTTACTTAATAAAAGCAGAAATCCGTGGAACTGAAAATAATAACAATAAAGATATTCAGTGAGACATAATACAGTTTTTTGAAAAAAATGATAAAATTGGTAAATCTCTAGTCAGAATGATCCTAAGAGAAGACAGAAATTACCAACAGCAAGAATAAAAGAAGAAAGAATCACTATAGCCTACGCACATACAACACAAGAATCAACCAATGAAAGTATAAATAAGTGGAACAACAAATCACTCCCAATATGTCTCTATCTATCTATCTATCTCTCCCTCTCTCTTTCTAAAATCAATCAATAAATAAATTTTTAAAAAGAAATCTTACCACCCAGATGACTTAACTAAAGAATTCTGTCAAACATTTGTGAAATAAATAACAATTCTACACAAATTCCAACTCTATCTTAAGACGCATCATCCCCACCCTGGCCAGTTTTGCTCAGTGGATAGAGCATTGGCTCTCGGACCTAAGAGTCCCGGGTTCAATTCCAGTCAAGGGCATGTGCCCGGCCCAGGCCCTGGTTGGGCTTGTGCAGGAAGCAACTAATTGATGTGTTCCTCTCACATCGATGTTTCTCTCTGTCTCTCCCTCTCCCTACCACTCTCTCTAAAAATCAATGGAAAAATATCCTCAGGTGAGGAATAACAAAAACAACAAAAAAAAAAAAGGAAACACTGTCCTTCACAAAATGAAGATACTTTCAGAAGAAAAATAAACAAGTGCTTAGCATCAGTCTAACCACAGCGAGCCAACTAGACAGCTGTGGGTAGACAGGCAGGGAGTGTGCTCTGGTGCAGGGTCTGGCAGGCCAGTGTAAATACAACAAGTTTCTGGTCCTGAAAGAGAGGAGAGAGGCCCAACCAAGTCATTATCTTACCATTTCTGATTAAGACCAGCCCTAAAACAGAGGGGTAAAATACAAAAGTAAAGAAGATTAAGGATTTGCAGCCGGTTAGAATGTGCAGCAGGCAAGGAAATATCTGTCACATGCATTGTTCTGATCATTACAGAAGTACACAAAATAAATAAAGCATGGTAAGTCAAACAAGGACAGACATTTCTCTAACCTGAATATGTAGAATTAAATTGTTTCTTTAAAAGAAACACACACCACAGAGTATATGGTAAATAAAATATTAAGAAACATCAGGATGCCCAGCCGGTGTGGCTCAGTGGTTGAGCATCCACTTATAAACCAGGAGGTCACTGCTCAGTTCCCGTCGGTGGGGCACGGGCCTGGGTTGCAGGCTCAGTGCCCAGTGGGGGGGGCGTGCAGGAGGCAGCCAATGAGTGATTCTCTCTCATCATTGATGTTTCTATTTTTCTCTCCCTCTCCCTTCCTCTCTGAAATCAATAAAAAATATTTTTTTAAAAAAAGAAACATCGGGGATATTTGTAGATACGACTAACGTTTTAGGGTTACAGTAGTCCCATAGGTATCACAAAATAGAAATGGCATTCACCCCAAGGCGAAGTGGGTGACTACCATGACATGCACGTAAGTGTGCTACGGCACAGAGAATGAGTTTTAAGTCGGCCAGGTCTGGGTTTAAACCTTAGCTCCAGGGAGCTGTGTGACCTCGAGCAGTTTCTTAAACTCCCTGAGGACCAATTCTCCCATCTGGGAAATGGGGGCAATAATATCGACCTTCACAAGTTGCCATCAACATTAGTTGTAATAACCTATGTCTGGGGTGGCAAACAGGTTTCACTTCCTATGCAGTTCTAACGTGTTGCTGGTTGCGCCTCGGAGCACCGCGTTACCGTGTTAGAAGGAATTATGGAGCGACGCCTGGGCCTGGCGAGGTGAGCGCTGTGACCGCCTATGCCCATCACTCCCGGGAACGGGGAGCAGATTGTAATCCAGGCATTTATCGTCCCTGCGCCCAATAAAGAGTAAGTAGCTCTCCTTATTCCCAGCTCTATGGTCATAAAAGAAGGTGTTTAATAGTATGTTCCTTATTTTCAACTTAATTTTCAGATTCTAGGGAGAGAACATGCAATAAGACAGAAGAAGGCTTGTGCTATGAGAAAGCATATTCTTTCCTAAAAAAAAGAAAGAAAAGAAATCCTTGCCCTGGCCGTCAGCTCAGTTGGATGGAGCATCATCCCATCCACCAAAGGCTGCGGGTTTGCTCCCCAACCGGGGCCTGGGCGGAGGGCGGCAGCCAGTAGTTGTTGTTTTTTAATCCTTAAATTAGCAGAGTAGGGTCCTTCTCCACAAATTTCTTCAATTAAAGGTTGAAGGCAAGATTCAAATTTCTCTAATTAAGTAAACAATCTTTAAATGTGGAATCAGAAGAATCAACAGGAAGCTAAAGAGGTGAATGCAGAGAAGAGAACCACTTGGAACTGCAGCCTCGGTTACCTGCTGCCCCAAGTACTTCAGCCCGTCCAGGCAGACTTTCCACTCGATCAGCAGCTGGTAGGCGGCCTCCTTCCCTCCCCATATCTTCACCACGAAACAGGACACAGAGGTATCAAGGCGGTCGGGCATTAATCCAAAATCGAGACTCCGCCAGGTTGGATTCTGTTGATGGAAATGAAAACATGCCTGAGAAAGACTCTAACTTGTTTCCAGTTATTTCAATTAGGTTGGGATCATTTTGTTTGTAAAAAACCGAAGACCTCATAAATATATTAAATTGCCAACTTAAGTGAACCAAGAAGACATTCCAATTAGCAGGACAGGGGTGATAATGGTATTTTTAAATTTCTCTTCTTATTTATTATAGTCATTAAAAGGAGCATATAGTCTTAATCTCATTAGTACAGCTTCCTATGGTAATTCATTTATCTATTTATTAAACAATTAAGACACAATTAAGAAAAGAAATATAAACAATGCCTCAAAGTTCCACAAATCTGTTGGCTTCAAACCTCTATTTAAGTAAATCTATTGTTCCATTAAAAGTTCAACAACAGAATGATGCAAAAGCTACACAGTAGCACAGGAGGGAATAATAAACTCTGAAGTGTGAGAGTGAACCAGGCATCTTTTCTGTCAAAGAAAGGAGCTCGCCACCATCGTAGGCTCCGCCATTTCGATATGACCTTCAGGTTCTCAGGGGGCCGCCACCTTAGGCTTCGCCTCACCCCTCCCCTTCGTCTGAATTAGCCAATCGTGCAATAATGTGAATCTGAGCCCTGACCAATCGAGTCAGAGTCAGAGTCAGAGTGAGGGGCAGGGCAGACCCGCATCAGGAAATAAAGCCCCAAAGGAAAATCATGGCAACTGCGCTCCTCTGCACAGGAGTAAATCTCCTGCCGATCCACTTTCGAGCGTTTGTCTCATTCCCACACTGTTGACAAGCATTTCTAACAGAAGGAACAGGAGAAAGACGTCACGGAGGCTATGAAACTTGGCTACTAAAGGACAAGTAGGATTTTACCTGGTGGCAGTAAGGAAGTCCAGGCAAAGGGCACAAGATAAACAAGGCTCCGGGTGTGAAATAGGGAGTCGGGTCAGGGAACTAAGGCAACTGCTGGCGCACACAACACAAGACAGACGGACACAAAGCTGGAGAGATAAACAGGGGACTAAACTCAAAGATATTTTATGCCTTGTCACGGAATCAGTCCTTTACTGGGTATAAGATGTGGGGCCACTGAAAGGTTTTAAGGTTAATGAACATGCAACAACACGGATGAATCTCACAAATGTGACATGTATAAGCAAAAGAAAATATGCCATATTTTCAAAAACTAACAGAACTAATCTGTGGTGCCAGAAGTCAGGATAATGGTTCTCTTTGGGAAGTAGTAGTAACTAGAGGGACAACACAAGAGGTGCTGATAATGTTCTATTTATTGTTCTGATTACATTGATCTCATTGAAAAATCATCAGGCTCTTATTATTTGTGCCCTTTAATGTGCTGTGTCTCAACAAAACACAATAAAACTAATAATGGGGGAAATACCGCATCTTACAAATCAAATTATGATATCTCTTCATGATGTAATTTTAGGCCCTAAGGCTAAAGAGCGGGAGTTGGAGGACCTTCCTGGCCTTCACATTGCACCACATGAAGAGGCAGCCATTCCCTCGCCTCTGTAAGATCCCCCTCAACAAAAGTGACATGCTCTAGAATATCTTCTGTAATAATAAAAGCATAATATGCTGCGAGGGAAGCCCGAGTCCCGGGTGCCAAAGGGAAGCCGGTGCCGACAGCCAGGGGAAGGAAGGCCTACTCTTGCTCGAATTTCGTGCATTGGGCCTCTAGTACCGTAATATAATTTCAAAATCTCAATGTCACTGAGATTTTGTTAACTTTCCCAAAAGTTAACAAATGGTTTGGAGGGTATGGCGAGGTGAAGCTAGAAACATTAAAGTTGAACTACACATTCACCAGTAATTATTTTATGCCAAATATATCTGAGAAGAAACCTCACTCAGACGTAACTTGCAGACACATCTCCACAATCTAACCTGTCCAAGGATTGTTCTTGTTACTCAATGCAACAGACACTGATAGGCCTTCTCTAAATAAAGCATGTGCTGGGACATTAGAAAATAGAAAAAGGGGGTCCTTGTCTATCAGATGCTCCTAATTTTGTGTGGCCTGTAACTGTATCCCTTCTAAAATCTTACTCTTACGCGATCCAGCCTTTCGCTACCTCCTCCTATTTCCCCAGGTCATTTCCCCCACTGCCCTGTCCTCAGTCCCCTTGCCTCTGTGTCATATTTGCCACAAAATCTCAAGCCACACACACTCACCCAATTCAGCCACACTAACTCCTAAGGCATTTCTTGAAAACCTCAAGTACACTCCTGCTTTTGTACTTTCCTGTTTCTTGGCCTGGAACCTATGTCTCTGTGCATTTTCCCCCCACATAGATACATAACTTGTTCCCTCACTTTGTTAAGGTGTCTGCTAAACAGTATCTTTTTTATTATTACCATAGAAAAACAAGCAACCCCACCCCTGCCAGGTACCCCCTTTTGCTGCTTTACTTTACTCAATATTTGTATTTATTACCATTTAACATATTCCGATTTATCAATTCTAACATGTACTTTTCTTCACATTGTAAGATGAATTCTGATTTTAGAAATGCTAAAATCAATATGGTCCTATAATATTTGACCAGCAGGTGGCAGTCATCAGATAGCTCTACATGCACAACCTTAAAAATAGCTGTAGATAATATCAATTCTTTCAAGTTAGGCACAGCCTTGGCACTAGTTGTGCTGAGTTTAAGTGCCATTTAAAATACATTTATTGATCTAGACTTTTAAAAATCCTGTATATAATATCTATCAAAAGTTTAAATTCAAAAGATTAAGGAATTAAGTGGGTCACAAGAATATGGAATAAAGAGAATTCTCTCAGACTGCTGGTGAGAGTGTAAATAAAACAATAATTTTGGAAAACTGGAAATATACATTAAAGCTGATCCCTTGCATATTCCCAGCAAGTCCATTCCTAGATATATAACCAACAAAAATGAATACATACTTTCAACCAAAAGATACACACAAGAAAGTTCATAGCAGCACTACTCATCTTAATTCAAAACTAGAAACTAACCAAAAGCCCATCAACAGAAGAATGGACACATTCTGGTATAGTCACAGAATAGAATACTATAGAGCAAACAAACCACAAATATAACCCCACAGTATGAATGACTCGTGATATAAACTTAAGACATGGAAGTCACACACAAAAAAGTACATACTGTATTGTTTAATTTCCATAAAACTCAAAAACAGGTAAAATTAATTTATGGCATTAAAAGTCAAGAGCTAAAGAGCAAGGAACCAAGATGGCGGCAAGTAAATGCCTATACTTGCTGCCTCCCACAACCACAAAAAAATTAGAACTAAAATACAGAACTATCATCCAGAACCACGGGAAAGCTGGCTGAGTAGAAGTACTACAACTAGAGAGCTGCTCCTCTTAATAGGCCGGCACCGAGAACTGAATTTACAAGCTCCCACTTCCTCTGAGCTCCATTGCTGGGCAAGGCTTTGGGGGACCCAGACACATACGGGGAGAAACTGGACTATCTGGCATCAGGGCAAGAACTCGGGGTGGCTTTCTTCCAGACGGAGGTGCTCGCAGCGGTCATTGGATGCTGGGACCTCCTCGGTGCAGAACTGACTGGTAGCCATTCCTGTTTGCTCTGCCCTGGTGATTCCAAGACCCCATTCCACCTAATTTACAACTCCACCCAAGCTGTGCACAGTGGCTTTTGCATATGAATGGCCTGTCCTTTCTCAGCCTAAAAACTGTCGAACAAGCTACAGCTGGGTCAGAGAGCCCCAAAGCTATCAATAAAAGGCCCAAGGCCAGCACCAGCACCAGCCTGCCTTGCTTCACAGCTGGGCCTTGCATCGACACTTCCAAACCCAATACAAACAAGAGGAATCTGCAGATGTCTCTGTAGCTACTGCTGGGTGGCCCCAGGCATTGGCTGACTTTGCACCTCCCTGGAGACTCAACAGCCGTGTACCCAGCAGTCAGTGTGAGACCATACCAGATTACAACTCTTCACATCCATAAGTGACACACTCAAGGGGCAGACTCAGTGAGCACCAAAGCCCCACTGAAGCAAGTCCTGCTCCATAAGTGTGTCTCCTGCACAGCAGCTCTCCCACTGTAGTCGCAGCTGGTCCCTACAGCCAATTGGCCTGGAGGTCAATTCCTCCCAGTGACACCAACAGCAATCAAGGCTCATCTACAATAACACTGCACACAGCCCACAAAGGGGTGCACCAAGAGTGTCCACCTCAGGTGATTGGGGAGGCTGAGCCACTGGGCCCTATAGGACACCACTCTATCAACTCAAGGAGACTTAGCAGCTACCCAATACATAGAAATAAACACAGGGATGCAGCCAAAATGTGGAGACAAAGAAACATGTCACAAACGAAAGAAATGGAAGAAAGCAGACTACTAGACAGGGGTCCTCAAACTTTTTAAACAGGGGGCCAGTTCACTGTCCCTCAGACCGTTGGAGGGCCGGACTAAAGTTTAAAAAAAAACTATGAACAAATTCCTATGCACACTGCACATATCTTATTTTGAAGTAAAAAAACAAAACGGGAACAAATGCAATATTTGTATTTGCATGTGGCCCGCGGGCCGTAGTTTGAGGACCCCTGCTACTGGATATAGAGTTCAAAACCACAGTTATACGGTTACTCAAAAATCTAGAAACCTCCAAGGAATTTAGTGAGACCTTCAAGAATCTTAGTGAGAATGCCAAAATAATGGAAAAGGACCAGTCAGAAATTAAGCACACACTTACTGAAATAAAGAATAATATACAGGGATTCAACAGTAGACTAGAGGATCCCAAGAATCAAGTCAATGATTTGAAATATGAGGAAGCAAAAAACGCCCAACCAGAAAAGCAAAAAGAAAAAAGAATCCAAAAATATGAAGATAGTGTAAGGAGCCTCTGGGACAACTTCAAGCGTACCAATATCCACATTATGGGAGTGCCAGAAGAAGAGAGAGAACAAGATATTGAAAACCTATTTGAAGAAATAATGACAGAAAACTTCCCCTACCTGGTGA